CAGCAGGCACTGTTGTAAACACCTTCCATGGATGGACACAATCATTCCTCACCAAACCCTAGGATGCGGTACTGCTGACATCCCCATTTTACAGATGATGAAACTGAGGCTTCATGAAGAATGGCAACAATTCAGCCTGTAGTTTCTTATAAAATTAAACATGCAATTACCATTCAGCCAAGCAATGGCATTTAGACAAATGAAAACATGTTCACACAAAAACCTATATACGCAAATGTTTACCGCAGATTCTTAATTGTCAAAAACCGGGAGCAACCCAGATATCTTTCAGTGAGTGCAGTACAGTTCAGCGGTGCACCACGGTTAAAAAATGGTTCTCAGGGCGCCTGGGTGGCGCAGTCGGTTAAGCGTCCGACTTCAGCCAGGTCACGATCTCGCGGTCCGGGAGTTCGAGCCCCGCGTCGGGCTCTGGGCTGATGGCTCAGAGCCTGGAGCCTGTTTCCGATTCTGTGTCTCCCTCTCTCTCTGCCCCTCCCCCGTTCATGCTCTGTCTCTCTCTGTCCCAAAAATAAATAAACGTTGAAAAAAAAAAATTAAAAAAAAAAAATGGTTCAGCTGTGGTCCATCCACTCCATGGGACGCTACTCAGCAATAAAAAGAGAACACACATTGACACAACACACACAACCACTTGCACGCTCAGTTACGCTCAGTTAAAAAAGCCAATTCCAGAAAGTCACATACTGTTTGATTCCTTCTTATAACATCTTTGAAATGGCAAAATTTTTGAAATGGAGAACAGATAATGCCCCAGGGACTGGAGAAAGCATTGGCGGGAAGTGGACATGGCTATAAAGACAATGTGAGAGATGTCGCTAATGATGTTCCGTATCTTAAGAGTATTAACCGCAGCACTGGATTCTTGAACCTGCATATGATAAAACCGTATAGAACTAAATACACAAACACAAGTGAAGTCAAAGTAGAGGGCTCTGATTAAGATCTGTACAATGTATCAGCATCGACACACTGCTTGAGATACTATTCTTTTGCAAAATGTTACCACTGGGAGAAACTTGGGTAAAGGGTATGCCAGACCTCCGGCATCAATTTTTACAACAGCGTGTAAATATATAATAATTTCAATTTTAAACAGTCTTGCAAGTCCCAAAGCAGAGCTAGATGATCTACATTTGCTTCATCTAAGATCTGCAACGTCCACGATCTGGAAAGGCACCCTTTTCACCATACCACACAGCCACTTCCAAGTGCAGTGCAAAATTTAACTCTGAGCAAAGGAAAACTAAGAAGCCCTTTTTTACAGAATTCTGCGTTGCCAGCCACTTTGAGCTCTCTCAGAAAATTATCCCAGTTGGTGAAAATCAGCCCCTTGCTTTCTCTCATTAAACTGACTTCTGGCCAAAAGACTGAAAATTGGATCCTACCAAAAGTTCTCTCCCACCAAATACTTTCCTTATCCACGCTACCCCACCCCACCGCACTGCCACCATCAGTCAGTACAAACATTTCAATTCTAAATCTTCCTTGAAAGTAGCAGCACCAATGGCTTAACACTGGCCTTTAATACCAGGCCCCAAATGGTCAGCTGCTACAGAAAAGTAGCGGAGCACAGGAAACAGGACAGAGGGTCAGGGGCTGAGACAGACCCCAGGTCAAGGTGTGACCTTGGCCAGGTTCCTTAAACTTGAGTCTGACTTTTCCCATCTACAGGATGGGGATGTGGCATCGTCCCTCCGAGGTATGGGAAGGATTCAGGAGGACTATCTATGTACCTGGCACTAGGATTTCCTCGGGCCTCCCACCGCCTCTGCCCATTTCCCTCACCAAGCTGATTTTATGTTCACCTGCCAACAAAGGAGTCACTCCCTGGAATCCCCTCCTCACTAAGGTTGGTAGATAACCCAGAACACTCTCAACTTGGACCCCTCCTATTTCAAACACGGCAAAAAAAAAAAAAA